CTTCCAACCGCAGCACGTCCTGCCTCTGCTGAATGTATCTTGTAGATGAATCTTTGTAGAGGCCTAGTCCAAATCCCCCTACGCTGCGGAGCGGGGGTACCATTGCTGGCTTCTACTCCCATCAGAACCATTCTCTCCTGCGGTTCATGCTGCCTCCATCCACCCCGGCACCCCTCTGCATCGGAGGAAGCAAACGGTCAGCGCCCTGGCACCCGCACGGGCACGAGTGCGTCCCTGTGCTCGTTGTTCCGTGAGAAGTGTCCTGGGGCCGCGGCGCAGTGGCCGCGCGGGAGGGCTGCCCTGGTATGCGACCACCTCCTCGGCCTCTCCACGTGGCCTCCCAGCTCCTACCCCTGCAGCCAGGCTTTGGGCTGGCCAAGGGGCAGGCGCCACCCAAGCTGCCACCTGTCATCCCACGGTGAGGTTTCGAGGACTTCTCCCTGCTGCCATCTGCTGCGCTCTCAGCTCCACTCTGTCCGGCGGGGAGTCCACCCTCGGGTGCACTTTGCGGTGGCATTGCTGCGTGAGGCCCCTCTCTGAACCTGCCTGGTTCACCTGGCTTCACTCCCATCCTCTGGGGTGAAACAACTCCTTGCCCCTCAATAAGAACATGCTCTGAAAACCGCTGTGTTGGTCTCAGCCTCTCCCGCTTCCTGCACCAGCCCCACCAGCCTGGCCCTGCTCCCCAGGCCCATTGGCCCTCCCTGCACAGAAGAGGCTGTTTCGTGTCCCCAAGTGCTGAGCCAAGAGGGGGGCCCTCTGCGTGCGCCCACGCGGTGGGTGCCCTGGTGTCCTCTGCTCTGCCACGCTGCTGTGTGAGGGGAGGGAAGGATCCCAGGGGAAGTCTGAGAGGAATGACTCCGAAATTCCCTCGTTTTAAACTGAGGCTGGAGAGGAAAGGGAGCCCTGAACTCAGATCATCCATCCAAAGTAAGGTGACACAGGGCTGTGAGGAGCTGGAGCCTTCCTCCCACGCCTGTGCCGCTGCATCCCGTCCTTTCCATGTGCTGAGCATTCCCGCTCAGGAACGTGGCAGCAGGGGGGCTCTCGTGGCCAGTGAAACCCCATTTTCCAAGGATCCCGTGTCGCAAATGCGCCTGGCCCCAGCTTAGCCCGTTCCAGGTGGAGGCCGGGCTTGTGTAGCTACAACTGCAGCCTCCTCCATTCAGCATCCCTGTTGCCTGCCCGAGGGCTCCCTGCCCCATGCCCGGCCACGGCGGGTGCGTTTGCCCTCGGCGAGCAGAGGCCGCTCCATGGCAGGGACCCAGGGGCATCTCTGCGGGCGCCCTCATCCTGCGGC